ACCGCATCCCAAAACCAGTCCAGCTCGTCCCTGCCTCCCTAACCTGTTCTTCCTCCCACCTATCCCCTCCTCCCACCTCAAGCCGCACCTCCATCTCCTACCGACCAACCTCATCCCGCCCCCTTGACCTGTCCGTCCTCCCTGGACTGACCTATCCCCTTCCTAACTCCCTACCTACACTCACCTTTACTGGCTCCATCCCCGCCTCTTCGACCTGTTTGTTTCCTCTCCACCTATCCTCTCCTCTATCCCTCTTCTATCCGCCTCCCACTCTCTCCCTATTTATTTCAGAACACCCCTCCCCTCCCCCTTTTCTGATGAAGGGTCTAGGCCCGAAACGTCAGCCTCTCTGCTCCTATGATGCTGCTTGGCCTGCTGTGTTCATCCAGCCCTGCACCTTGTTGTCTCACAAAGTCTGTGACTCTGATTGAATTGTTGTTCCTTCTAATGCTTCGCAGTTCTGAACGTAAAGGCTTTTACAGCACTATCAATTTTGTTTTGTTCTCAGAAGTACGGTCCCTGTCCTATTGTCCTCATGACATGGTTACCATGACAATACGTGCCCATCCTGTTTCCCAGGCCTCTATCTTCCCTGTCATTGTACAGTGACCAAGAGATCTGAAGGTACCAACCCAAGGCTACTATTTCAAATCTACCTCCCCTGTACTGAAGTGTGCCTGGCCACTATAAGTTCAGTCCAATGTATTTTTTTAATGTTTCTAAGGTACAGCTTGATTCCATCATCACTCACCCTTCCTCTGCCCCTTCCCCACCAGTTTTCTGCCTCCTCTTCTGATGCCAATGTCTCATGTAAGGGTACAGGTCCGTGGTAACAGTTATCTCCTCTACCTCACTCTTCATGCACAAGCATGCACGATCAGCGCCAGTGGGTTTTCCAACTTTAATGTGGGTCCACCTGTAGCACACGGACTGCAGCGGTTCAAGAAGGCAGCTCACCACCAGCTTCTCCAAGGCAACTAGGGATGGGCAATAAATGCTGATGATGGAATCAGGCTGTAACCTACGAACATTAAAAAAATACACTGGACTGAACTTAGAGTGGCCAGGCACATTTCAGTACAGGGGAGGTAGATTTGAAATTTGGCAGGTTAAGCCAAATGTTGCCCTCATCCCTTAAAAGATCTGCATTTACACAGTGCCTTCCGTAATCTCAGGCCACCTAAAGCTTCTTGTGGCCCATTCATTGCTTTATGTGAAGTGGAGTCAAGTGATGTAGGAAATGCAGCTGCCAGTGTCTGCTCCTTTAGCCAATGATCAGATAATCTGGTTTCTGAGAGAGTCACTGAAGAATAAAGATTGACCAGGAAACCAGAGATAGCTTTCCCACTCTGCTTCAACACAGTGTCATTGGGATCATTTGTATTTATTTGTGAATGCAGGCAAGTGTCTGAAAGACAGCACTTCCAACAGTGGAGCACCCCTCAGTCCTGCACTATGCTAAAACCTCGAAAAGGGATAACCTTCAGAGACCAATGAGTGCATACTACCAGCTGAGACCTCCTTCCTCATCTGGTTCTAACCTTCCCTCCATTCCCGCTACCTTCAGCGAGAGGATTTGTTTTACCTGCCTCAACTGGTGGGTATTGAATTCAACTGTAACACCCTTCCTGTTGCCATAGTGATAATCAGTTAACTTGGCACAGGTGTATGTTCCAACACACAGCCTTCAGTTTCCCTGTGATTGAACTACTCAGAGGTCTTCCCAGCCTGGATCTGGAGTGAAAAGAGGCTGACATTATCTGTGAGTGTAAACCCCCTTCAAGCAATTAAATGGATTAATTTTTGCTTCAGTACATTCCATATGGCAGGGATTACATCGAACGGTCACTGCTCACAAGATCTGAAGTGATTCATTAAACTTGTTTTCTTTGAATCAGAGATAGTAGGAACTGCAGATGCTGGAGAATCCGAGACAACAAGGTGCAGGGCTGGATGAACACAGCAGGCCAAGCAGCATCATAGGAGCAGAGAGGCTGACGTTTCGGGCCTAGACCCTTCATCACTTATTCACCCTTATTCACCCTTATTCACTTGCGGGATGTGGGCGTCGCAGGCTGGGCCAGCATTTATTGCCCGTCCCTAGTTGCCCTGGAGAAAGTGGTGGTGAGCTGCCTTCATGAATTGCTGCAGTCCATGTGCTGCAGGTTGATCCACAATGCCCTTAGGGAGGGAATTCTAGGGTTTTGACCCAGCGACACTGAAGGAACGGCAATACGCTTCCAAGGCAGGATGGTGAGTGGTTTGGAGGTTTTGGTATTCCCATGTGTCTGTTGCTCTGGTCCTGTTAGAAGGTAGTGGTTGTGGAATTGGAAGGTTCACTATTTCAATTTATAGCTTTCTCTTTGCCAATAACATTCAAGCATCATGCCTATAAATGAAAACTGCTGTTCATAGATCAGTGACTGGAAGAGCAGGCTGTGAGTGAGGGGATTATCTAAGAGCAGGCAACAAAACTTGGCCATTAAGCCTCCAAAAGACTACATTGATCAACTTGTCAGCTCATTGTTCCTGTGGGGATTTGCATAACATTCCCCAGGACAGTTTCTACCCAAGGCTTTCTGTCTTGGAGATACGTTCCCTTTACCATGCCTTAAACAAGTTATTGCAGTCCTGGAAGCTAGATGAAAATCATAGATTCATATTCCTACAACAGAAACATGCCCTTGTGGAGTTACATCATACTAGAGGATTATAACCTAACCCACCCCTCAGACAACGCACAACATGAGAACATGGAAACATAAGAAATAACAGAAGACCATTCAGTCCTCGAGCCTTCTCCATTATTCCTCTAGATCATGGCTGCCCACTATGGGCTGGAGTATGCCCAATTCTACAGTGGATGTAAAGCTCCCAGAGACTGAGCACAATTTACTTCAGTGATGCCCCACCTGTTACTGCATCTTTGAAAGATGGAAGACCGTGAAATGAGCAGGGGTACAGGGATAGGGGGAAAAGGCAGAAGGTTGGCAGTAGAGTGATAGAATCATTGCAAACATGTTGGACCAAATGTTCTCTCTCTGTGATGATTCTGAATCTAGACACAATGCAAGCCATTAGCTAGGATCATTGTACACCACTCAGCAAACCTGACTGTCTGCAGTACAAACAGCAGAGGTTCTGTCGATACAGACTCTCAAACCAAACCAAGGAAGGAACAATTTGCCCACTCCAACTCGTGGCACTTTCCAAACGACCACAGCCAAGTTTCCAAAGCTGGCTTTGAGTTGTTACAACACAAGCGACGCAGGGCAGCAATCTTTGGTGCAAACTCAGAACAAAGTAGGAGAGTTTTTTTTTAGAAAAGTGAAACAGCTGGCAGAAAGAGTCAGGTGCTTCGAATTGAATGGGATGGCCTGACTCTTTCCCACATCCCCAATCCCATCCATTCAGAACACTTGAAATGATGTGTGGGATTCCCAAATCCACAGACACTGGCTACAATCAAGGCTTTGCTAAACAATATTATTCTGGTATAATGCCACTTGTAGGAACCAACGTTAACCCCTTACAAGCCTGAATCAACAAGAATGAGCCCTGGAGAACATCTGACATTCCCTTTAATGTTAGATTGGTGTGAGAGATAGGAGGGATTAACCATCGAGTGTCAGCAATAGTCTCTGCCTTTACATAAAAAATCGTTTGAGATTAAACACAATTGTCTTAAGTTTCTATGAGATGGAGTGTCTTTAAGAGATAAAGACAAAACAAACATCAAGAAATGAATTTCAGAAATCAATGTCAGCATTTAAATAGCATCCCAAGAAAAGGGTTAAGTCAAATTTCGGGGGCAGACTCCATTTAGTCACCACATAAAAACGTACACACGATTCTCAACAGCAGCATTTAAAAGGCACGACTACATCTCCTGAATTGCTTCTCATGAAGTCTCTAAAGTCATTGAGAAGGGGGAAAGACAGGTCAGAGCTGGGGATCCCAGAATCGTCCCCCTCTCTGGGGACTCAGATTTTAGTTTTGAAGATGAGCGCTGGCAGGTGATGATTTGGACTCTCAGAATGGCAGAGAAAAAGAAAGGAAAACAGCGAAGACAAAAGTTTGATTTCAACCTAAAAAGAAAGGAGAAGGAGCGAGAGGGAAGTGGGATGGAGGGAGGGAGCAGGAGGTAAGAGGGAGTGGGCTCAGGAATGAGAGGAATTGGTGCTTACACTGTCCAGGTTCCCGCGATGGACACCACACTGGTCAGCAGAGGTAATAAAAACCAGCAGTTCATGTTGGTTCCGGGCAACACAGGCGGAGGCACACACGATCACCCCCTCCTCAGGCAGAAGCATCGGAGGGGGACTAACTGACAGCAAGGAATCCCTCTCCAGCCGCGGTCAGCCACAGCTGGGACACACACACACACACACACACACAGACAGAAACGATCCACTCTTTAAAAGCAAGCACACACCCTAAAGTGCAACTAGACTGAGTCAGGAGGAAGTTACATCTGCCTCGCTCCTCTCTTTCTCTCACTCCCTCTCTCTCTTTTTAAATGCAATATTGCTTTGCAGACACTGGATTCCAAGGCTGCAAATCGTCCTCGCTATATCTAGACCCACACATTGCCACTGATATTCTAGGGCTCATACAAAGCTGAGATGTTTTTTTAAAGGGACAGTGCTGCAGGAATTAATGACTAGACAAGAGTGTCCTGTTTAAAGGGGCTGCCATCACAATCCAGATATTCTTGCCCCTCACACGCATGCAGATCGGTTGACATCACTGCTGGGAAGTTTCCTCTGTTAAGTAACTGTCCCATCAGCTTCCCCACCCTTGCTGCCCATCGCCAGGGTCAATGTGACTGGAAACAACAACACATATTGCTGGAGAAACTCGGCAGGTATGGCAGCATCTGTGGAGAGAGAGAGAGAAAGCAGAGACAACGTTTTGGGTACAGTGACTCTTCATCAGATTCTCATCATTATAACCAGAGCCTCCTGCTGCCCCACTCTTCACTGTTGATGTGCAAGCCTGGAATATGGACCATAAACAGTCTATTTGACTGAAATCCTTAACCCATTTCCACAGGAGTCACTCCAGCCTTGCAGATTCTCAGGTCTAAATAGAAGGAACCTGCATTAGCATAGCACCTGTTACAGCCCATGTCCCATACCTTATACTTCATAGTGAAGCACTTGTCTTTAGAAAAAAAAAGTCACCATTGTTGTGACAGCAGCTGTTTGGTGCACCACAAGCCTTAACGTCATCATGGCCAAAGAATAAACATTGACCACTCATCAACTTCCTGGATCCTTTTACGAATAGTTTTAAACATTAAAATGTGTGCGTGGGGTGGGGCACGGTATCCTTTCTGCCAGACAACTGACAGAACTTTGGTTTGATATGTTATCCAGATCTAACATCACTCTGTCCCCAGTGACTGACCTCAGCCCTCTCCATGACAACAGTCTAAGATGAAGAAATCAATCTGTTTGAAAAATGTGACCTCATATCCGCACCATCACCAAGACCACTTTCTGCACCTCACCAAATTTAGCCAACTTTGCCTCCATCTCTGCTGAAGTCCATCTCAGCTGAGACCCTATCTTTGCTCCCTTGAAACTGGTTTAATCCAGCACTCCTGGGGCAGCATGGTGGTTAGCACTGCTGCCTCACAGCGCTAGGAACCCAGTTTGATTCCGCCCTCTGGCGATGGTGTGGAGTTTGCACATTCTCCCCATGTCATATGGGTTTCCTCCAGGTGCTCTGATTTCCTCCCACAGTCCAATGATGTACAGGTTAGGGGATTGGCCATGCTAAATTGCCCATAATGTCCTGGGGTGTGCAGGCTATGTGGATTAGCCATGGAAAATGTGGGGTAAAAGGGATAGGGTGGGTCTGGGTGGAATGGTCTTTGAAGGGTCAGTGTGGACTTGATGGGCCGAATGGCCTATTTCCACACGTAGGGATTCTATGATTCCTCACTAGTCTTCCAATTCTTACTGTCCATAAGTCTGAGATCATTCAACACTCTCTTGCTTGTGTCAAAATACAGTGAGTCCTGTTTATGTATCTCTGTGCTCACTGATCTACATTAGCTCCCAGTTAAGTGATATCTTTGTTTTCAAATTTTCACCCTTGCCTTCAAAGCCATCCATTGTCTACACCCCTCCCTATAATTCCCATCCAGCTCCACAATCCTTTGGAATATCTAGTCTCTGGTGTATCCCCATTGGAATCATGGTGGCCCTAAGCTCTGGAATTCCCTCTCTACACCTCTCATATGCTTGTTTCCTTTATGACCAAATTCTGAAGAACAGCCAAATCCAATGGGAAACATTAACACTGTTTCTCCCTCCACAGATGCTGCCAGATTTGCAAATTTTTCCAGCCCTTTCTGTTTTGATTTCATCACCTGCATCATTTTGCTTTTATTTCAGTATCTTCTTATGTGATTTGATGTTATCTTGGGATAGGTTATATATAAATGAAGTTGTTGTTAAGCAACCACTAAGTTCCCGACATTGTTTTTAAAAGATATATTCACTCACAGGATATAGGCATCTCTGGCCAGGCCAGCATTTATTGCCCATCCCTAATTGCCCAGAGGGCAGTTAAGAGTCAACCACATTGCTGTGGGTCTGGAGTCACATGTAGGCCAGAGCAGGTAAGGATGACAGATGATTTCCCTTTCCTAGATGGCATTAATGTTTTCCCCCAACAAGTAGCAATCATTTCATAACCATCATTAGACCCATAAGACCAGATTCGCTATTGAATTCAAATTCCACCATCTGCCATAGCAGGATTTGAACCCAGAGCCCGAAATGTCAGCTTTCCTGCTCCTCTGATGCTGCTTGGCCTGCTGTGTTCATCCAGCTCTACACCTTGTTTTCCCAGAACATTAGCTGAGTTTCTGGATTAATACCAACGATAATATCACTAGGCCATCAGCTCCCCAGTGATTCAGAGCTCTTCAGGAAATGTTCTCTCACCTGCCTGCAGCTTACCAAAATCTACTTGTCTTGTTTATTTTGAATGTTTTTTTTCGCAAAAGATTGGAGAAGAAACAAATTAGCCCTAAACTGTTTGGATTTTAAAAGCAAATTTGTTCTTGCACAACCTAAAGGAAGAAACAGGGACATTTAGCAGGGTCTTAACAGATTGTTATAGGGGCAATCAAATTCTGCCGGAAGGTTAGAACGCAAGAGAATAGTTAGAAGCCAGTGCTGTTTTCATTAGCCAAGATGTGGGGAGCCACAGCAAATTTATCATTTTGTGTCATCCTGTAGGCAAGGTAGACAGTTTGAACTAATTGAATCTGATCTTAACAGTAGCTCCCTATTGCGAATTCAAACAATTGATCAGACTTTTCACAGCCTCAGCTCACCAAGTCATTTCTCAGGCTGCCTTTGAAGAGCTAGAAGCACAAACGCTCAGATCCTTTACCAAATACAAGGATCTGACCACCTGACTTGTTCCATAGCTGCCTCTTTTAATCGCCACAGTCTGATGCAATTCCAATATTGACCGTGTAGTATGAAATTTGGAGAGTTGGAGTTGTTGCGAGCAAAAGAATACTCAAACCTTTCACCTAGGAATTCCTCCTTTGTGCGGCAGACAAAAGGCAGGAAACCAACTCAGAATTTAATTAACCAAACCCTTCTTTATTTAAATCTTTAAATACTAATACATTCGTTGCAATGTTTGCTTTTTACTTCATCTAACTTTGACTAACTCACTTCATTTAACTTGATTTTACCATAGTTTTGACTTAATCCACATTTAACCCTAACTCTACCTTTAACTCTGTAAGGTTAGCTTAAATGAAATTCTACCCCAACTTGAGTGAAGCCAACTTTGTTCCCCTTGTAGGTCTCGCCTCATGTTGCATTGTCTTCTTTTCATTTGATTTATTATTATTGCAACATGTACCTAAGTACAGTGAAAAGTTTTGTTTTGCGAGCAGCACAGGCAGATCATAACATACAAGGACACACAGATTATACGCTGATTGAACAGAGCAAGGAATACAAAGTTACAGCAGCACAGAAGGTGTACAAAAGCAAGATCAATACCAGGTTTGAAATTTGAGAGGTCCATTCAGCAATCTAATAATAGTGCAGAAGAAACTTGAACATGTTGGTCCATGTGTTTAAGCTTCTGTATCTTCTGCCTGATGGAAGAGGTTGGAAGAGATTATAACTGGGGTGGGAGGGGGCTTTGATGATGTTGGCTGTCTTTCCGTGGCAACAGGAAGTGTAGATGGAGTCAGTGGATGGGAGGTTGGCTCATGTGATAGTCTGGGCTGTGTTCACATCTTTCTGTAGTTTCTTAATGGTCCTGGGCTGAGCAGTTGCTGTACCAAGCTGTGATGCATCCAGATAGAATGCTTTTGATGGTGCATCTATAAAAATTGGTGAGGGTTCTTCTGGACGTGTCAAATTTCCTTAGCCTCCTGAGGAAGAAGAGGTGTTGTTGTACCTTCTTGACCATCGCATCTACATGGGTGGTCCAAGACAGATTGTCGGTGATCATCACTCCCAAGAGCTTGATGCTCTCAAACCTCTCCACCTCAGCTTCATTGATGTAGACGGGGGAGTGCCCTCCACTTTTCTTTCTGAAATCAATGATCAGCTCTTTAGTTTTGCTGACATTGAGGGAGATGTGCTTTTCCAAAGCTGTCTAGAAGGCTTCTTTTGAGAAAATCCCTCTGTGCTGCTACCTTATCTGAAAACATGCTCTGTTTCCAGAAAGGTCTCTGGCACTCACCCAAAGAATTGATCAAAGCCTGATCACATTGTTCAATCCCGGCCAATGGAGTTTACTGGTAAACAATTGAGTCTAGTTTCTGAATTGTGGCATGTAGCGTGAAGGATTCACACTCGATCGAAGACATATCCTGATTCATGCCGGGTCCTTCAAACAGATCAGATGAGACCAATAGATCCTGTCTCTTCCAGTTAACACAGGGCACTGGCTGCAAGGGCTCAAACCAATGAGCTGACCATGGAGCACATTTTACAAGAGGAATGGAGACAAAACTGCTTCATGGAGGCTTTCGTGAATTCATGGAATCCCTACAGTGTGGAAGCAGGCCATTCAGCCCACTGAAGAGCATCCCACCCAAACCCAGCATTTCCCATCGCTAATCCAGTCAGCCTGCATGTTCCTGAACACTGTTGACAATTTAGCATGGCTAATCCATCTAACCCACACATCTTCGGACCGTGGGAGGAAACTGGAGCACCAAGAGGAAACCTACGTAGACACAGGGAGAACACACAAGCTCCACACAGACCATCACCTGAAGCTGGAATTGAACCCAGGTTCCTGGCACTATGAGGCAGCAGTGCTAAACACTAGTCATTGTGCTACCCCTTTTGTTTTTTTAAAATAGACCACTCAGCCCATCGAGTCATCACCGACCCTATGAAGAGCATCCCACCCAGTCCCATCACTGTAACCCTGCATTTCCCATGGCTAATCCACCTAGCCTGCACATCCC